TCCTCCTGACCTCCCCCCTACCCGGCCCCCATCTCCCCGACATTGTCGACAAATCAGAAGTGCTGTGTTAAGACACCGCTTCTTGCGCACAAAAAAAACAAAAAAAAAAAATGAAGAAGAAACTGAACACTAATATAGTCTAAATAACGAAACCGTTTATTGCCCCGCACTGTTCCTCACAAGCCCAGCTTAAGGACGGCGAACACCGAAACGAGCGACCCGTCGAAAGATCGCCTCAGGATGTCGGAATCCCAAAGAAAAACACAGCAAGGAGCAGAAGCAGCAGCAGCGCCCGGAAACGACTGACCCACAAGGAGACCGCCATGGCATGTCGAACTCCAAAAGCACAACACGATCAGCAGCAGCAATTTTCAGTTGAAACAACCTCCGCGGACGGTGGCAAGCCTTCAAAGTCACAATCACCTCGAGCTCGCTCAAGCCACCGATGCCGCCCCCATGGTGGTGCCCGCCGCCTCCTTCGTCACCATCTTCTGCGGCAACCCAGTCCGTGCCATTGTTGTTGTCGTCGCTCCCGGCGTCGTCGTCGAGGTCTTCAAGGGCTTCGCCGTTGGTGATGAACAGCGTCTTCTCAAGGAGGGCCTTCACAACAGCAGCAATGACAACAGCAACAGCAACAGCAAAATCAACATCAACAGCAGCACCAACAACATCAACATCAACAGCAACAGCAACACAAGTTGAGTGCGGCAGCAGCAGCGCCAACATCATTGGCAACGTCGACAACAGAAACGACAACAACCAAAACAAGTTGCGTTGGTACACCAGCACCAGCGTCAGCAGCACCAACATCATCGGCATCGACAACGACAACAACAGCGCCAGCATCAGCGACAACAGCAGCAACAACAACAACGTCAGCAGCGGCAGCAACAACAGCAACAACAGCAATCAATAAACACAACACATCACATATCGCACGTACGTTTGACTTAAAAATGATCAAAATCTTCGTGTATGCACTACATCATTTTCGAGGGTTTGTCATGAAGCTTCCCACATACACCCGAAAACAGCGCGAATGCCGCGTAGCCCCCAGCTGCCTTCTCTCCTTTTCTCCGAAACAGTAAAACAGAGCGCAAACACCATAAGCACGCGGAAATGCGCGCGACAAATACTTTTACAAAACAAGCGGCGGCAGAGAGGTTAGAGAAGAGTTAAGAGGCAACCACGCGGAAGGAAGACACAACCACCAGCCGCACCTGGCACACCGACTGCAGACCCCCAGCGTTATCTCGGGCCAGCGCCGCAGACTTTTCGACGTCGCCTGTTCGTGGAGCGGCACACGGTCGAGAGGGGGGGGGCGATGCAATCGCCTGTTGTGCATGACCATTTCGGGTGCATGACCATTTCGGCAGCAGGTACTAAATCTCCGGGGGGAGGGGAGTACATCGGTTTATGCGTACCCGAAACATCATCAACATCAACAACACCAGCAACATCAATACACAATTTTGAAGGTTCGTTCACGGCGTAACAAATGCTTCCTTCAAGCCCACTCACCAGCACTCCCCTCCCCTTTTTCCAGTGTAGCTTGGGCCACGAACGCCGACCAGGCCCGGAGGCACCGCTGCAAGCCCTGCGCGCTTGGCTGGGCGAAGGTGAACGCCGCCAGGAGGGTCAGCAACTCCGTGACGGGATACGGCTCACTGGGCCCCCCGGAGCCAGAACTGCCTGCACGTAGTTGAAACCCGTACATATATAAAGACAACATATGAAAACGTTGAAGAGCTCGATGGGTTGGGGTGGGGGTGGGGGTGGGGAATGGGGCACGGGTGGACCAGGTAATGTCTACGGCTCGCGCTCCCACCCCTTTCGGTGTCAGAACTGCCTGCACGAAGTTATCAATGAACCCTGAACATAAAGAGAAAAAGAGCATACATTTGATGAATTCGATCGGTCGGGGTGGGGGGAGGGGGCCCGGTGAATGGGAGATAGGACCGGGGTGGGGGGAGAGATGCTGCGCCAGGAACATACGTACGGCTCACCCCCCCCCCC